ACAGATCTCTTGAGATCTCCTACTTTCTCCCCCGGTTGCTGTAGGTATTCATCCTGACCTATTTAACCATACACTCATGATGTCATCATATGAACTATGCTCATTGCCGTTCACTTCTACACTTGTGTCATGCATTAAAGTTGGGTAACTATACATTTCATGTTGAGGTGTTAATGCATTTGCATTCTAAACTGTTTGGAGCTACTCCTGCTGCGCGAGGAAAGATAGGGGCAAAACCGGCTATTGTGATCGGACTTAAAGATCCGTCGAGCTAGCTACATTTCGTAGTCGGGAAAATTCCCCTATGGCCCACTGGTTCCTGAAATATTTAGTGCGACCAAGTCTTACTGACTCCAGTCCTTGCCAGCAGACTTAGGCTCCCTTATCACTAGACAATTATAATGTAATGCCATGTGACTTCAGATTTTCCAGATTCAGAATCAAAACATTTCCACCTCATAAGATAAACAAAGCCAAATACATTTACATTGACGAATCATACATCACCCTTTTACATGCGCACTGACTGCCTTATCCCCATAGGTAAACAAATTTGTGTCACAGTATATATCTTTTATAGATTACTTATTGAAACAAGCATGACTTGACAGTACAGAGTTATATATTCAATGTATCAGAATCTTCCACGACTGAATTACTTTTCAGTGTGTAATAGTATTTCTCATGCCTCCCGTTACCTGGCTATCATCTTATATTTTCACACCCAACCTCATGGAATAACCCAAATATAACTCAATTCAACTAATTGACTTTTGTCGCTCACTTTAGGTTTACATAGAATACTATTGACATTAGGCTGAATCTGTTCAGAGAAGGCCAGTGTCCTTGGCTGCAGATTCGAATTTATCGATGAGCATGTCCGAGCCCACATCTGAGAGATGAATTCCATCCCTATGGAACAGATTGTGCTCTTTGGTGTCTATATTGTGCACTATCATTGATGTGTTCACCATCTGGGAGATTCTCCTCTTTGCGAATTTGTTAAGTGACTTCCGCACACCATCCATTGCCTCTTGTGATGTTGGGCCTGGTCTGCTACCGTAGTAAAACAATCTTGGAAGAATACCAGACCAGGCTATGTGGGTTCCTGGCATCCTTGCTCGTAGAGTTTGAATTGCTGTATCGATTGCGATTCTGCAACGGCATGCATCTCTCTGACCCAAGTCGTTTGTTCCCAGGTGAACGATCGCCAGTGCAGGTGGTGCGTTGTAATTCAGCCTATTTGTGACCATTCGGGGGAAGTCATGGAGAGTAGCACCTCCTTGACCATGCCACTGTACTGCACCCTTCTCTGCTCCCAAGTGCAGGCGGTTCTGTGCAGTGGCTCGCTCTTTGGCCCTTCTTACGATACTGTCCCCCACTATCCAGACTCGGTTGCGTACTCGTCCTGAAATAAAATAGTTAAACTCCCGAAAGTAACATGTTCATATATTTGGGAAGAACAACATATAAAATTTTCTTGTGAGCTTTATTTTCATAATTGTAATAACTCCCTAGTACTTAGTATGGAGTAACTGTAACTTATCTTATATAGCGCAAATAAACTTCACTGCGCCACCTACCCATCTTCCTAATTTGTTCTGGTGGCACACCATTCAAGGCAGCTGTGGTAGCTGCCCCAATTCGGAAAGAGTGAGTCCCATACCGACTAACATTCGCCCCAATTTGCTGAATGTTCTTTTTCAGGACTGCACTGAACTGGTACCTTGTAAGGGGGGAGCCATTCTCATGACAGAATAGTAGACCCTCTACCTGTGGCCTTGCTTGTAAATATGATTTCATGGCCTGTACTGGGCATACCCCCTCTACCCGGTTTGCATTAATCCTCAAAGTGGTAGATTTCCCATATTGGTCTGTCTTAGAAAATCGTATTTGTAACAGTAAAGTTTCAGGAATGCCTCGGCCTAATTGTACATCTGTGATATTCAACGCCTTCCTTGTATCATCACCCTTCCCTCGGATGGTGAACTCCCCTATTCTCAGGAAACCAAAGAATGCTAGTAAGTACGCTGCCTTGAACATGATTGCTTCGTATCGTGAAAAACATACATATTATGCTAGGTTTGGCAACAGTTGTCGCATTAGCTCCCATGTGATGGGTCTTCTAGTATCTACACAACATTTGTCTCTTCTACTACCTTCTTGCATTTTCCTAATCAAAAAATGTTTTGTGGGATCTGCCCAACCATGCATGTTATGTAAATATGCTAGGGCTGCAACATGCACTGTGATTGTCGAGGGTGCTTTCCCACTGATAGAAAGTTGGGCAATAAATGCCATGACCTGTTTCACTGATGCCGGCCAAGAAGGATTCAACTGGTGATTCAACCGAAATTCCTGAAAAGAATCCACTGCCCTCTGATACACGCGCTGAGATCCTTCCCCTAGAGATTGTCCCAACAGCCTCTGTGTTTCTTTTGCTAGGTCTGTAATATTCCAGGCGGTATTAGTGAGGCCCTTTCTTCCGCCAACGGCGCCAGCTTGCGAAATCGGTACATCTGGAATCGGGAAAGGGAGTCCGCAATACCATTATCATATGTGTGTACATGAACTGCCTTAAACAAGATATTTTGCCTCAGACACACCAAGACGAACGATCTCACCAAAGCCATGATTTTTGTACACGATGATGTCTGTTTGTTTATTGCATACATCACTGACATGTTGTCTGTGTACACGACAACTTTCTTGTTCTTTAGCTCATCTCCCCATATTGACACTGCAAGTACAATAGGTACCATCTCTTTCCATGCTATGGAAGTTCCAGTGATTATTTCCCGTGAAGACCATTTCCCATTGAACCATTTGCCTCCGAAGTAGCCGCCAAAGCCTATTGCTCCACTTGCATCTGTGTAGAGGCTCATTTCTCTACTATTTACCCACCTTTCCTGTGTAATTACTGTTACGCCATTATAATACTCTATGAACTCCAGCCATGCTCTCAAGTCTAGCTGAGCACCCTCCGAAATGGACAGTGGCTTAGAACTAGTCTTCTCTCCCTTTATTAGGTCTATCAACCGGCGTAAGAATGCCCTTCCTGGTCGCACAGCCCGACTAATAAAGTTCAGTGACCCAATGACTGATTGGATCTCCTTAACTGTTACATATTTGTGTGACAACACCTTCTTAATCTTGCGCCTAACCTCAGTAAGCTTATCATGTGGAACTCGAACCTGCATTAACACAGAGTCAAGTTCTAACCCGAGAAATGTCAATCTTTTGGTAGGCCCCTCGGATTTCTCTGCCCCTAATGGAACCCCTAACTCCTCACAGATTCCTTTGAGAACTTGTACCATCTCGAGGCATGACACGCCCCCGTGCTCTATTGAACTAACACACAAAAAGTCATCAACATAGTGTATAATCCCGTTTGAGCCACTTCGCTCCCGAACACAATATTCTATGAATGTGGAAAAGGTCTCGAAATACGCTGGAGCACATCTGACCCCCATGGGCAAGCATTTGTCGAGATAATATTTCCCCTCAAATTTGACCCCTAACACCTCAAAATCTTTCGGGTGCATAGGCAACAATCGAAAGGCGGACTTAATATCCTCCTTAGCCAAGTCGGCTCCCATTCCAGCCTCGGCGACCATCTCAACCGCTGTATCAAATCTAGTATATTCAACTTTACAATGCTCATCTGCAATAAAATCATTCACAGAGTATCCAGGCGGGTATGATAAATGATTGATTAATCGATAATCCCCGGGATTTCTTTGGCACCAGGCCAATTGGGTTAGTTCTCAAATTTTTTAGTGGCCTGGACTCAAAGGGACCTATGTATCGCCCTAGCTTAATCTCCTTCCGTATCTTCTCTCGTGTAATGTCCTTGTTATTTTCTGCTGATTTTAGGTTGGGTAAGTCTACTGGCATGCGAGGGCCTGTATAATTCAAACAAAATCCTTCTGTGAAACCACTTTCCAAAAACCTGGCTGCTCGCTCATTTGGGTAGCTTTTTAACAATTGTTGTAGGCTCTTTATTTTAATGGGTGACTTCCCCAAGGATATAACCTGTCCTGTAATCTGTACATCTCTACTGTTACTGTGTATTTCACCTTCAAGCCTGTCCTGATTTCTATTTTTTGTGTGTTCTATCTGTCTCCTAGGAATTGCCTTTTCCTTACTGAGCTTTGGGTTTGGGGGCTTTTGAGTTGGATTGATTGTTTGGGCAGAAAACCTTGCCGTGGCCACTTGCTCCACACAGGGAACACTTGTGCGCGTACCTACAATCTTTCCGGCTACAAGCCCCTGACCTGAAGTTGAATTCGTGACAGATTCCACTGCGAAAATTGGGTGACCTGGGGGGCACAAACCTACCCTTGCCCTGTGTTTGGCTAGTGCTAGGGTTATATGTTCGCTTCCATTCCCTCCTGTTGGACCATGGGGCCGATCGCCCGAGTGGACGGTCTTGGCCACGAACTCCCCGAGGAGGTCCCCCTCCCACTACATGAAGGAGCCACAATTCTCCATCTATACCTGCCCAAGATCCACCTTCCTTGTGGTAGCGGTGACGAAATTCGATATCATAATCTCTCCACCCATACCCATAATAGCGCGAAGCAGCAGATCGAATAAGGTGGCAGTATTTCAGTAAGTCTTGTGCGCAATTCAAATTTGCTTCCAAAACAATGCTAGCATACACAAGAAATGCATTAGTCCACAACTCTATGGTTGCAATCTTATTCTTGGATGTCGCGCTGACAGGTTTCAATACCAATCTCCCGTCTTCCTGAGTCATTGCCAAATTCGTCCTTTGTTCGTCTCTAGCTTCCCCCTGTGTGTGTGCTGACACCTCTTGGGCATTCACTAACACATTAAAATCCACATACTCGCCTTTCCATATTTTCTCCCTAATGTTATTGGGAATGGCCGAGCCTAGATCTAGTCTATCTCCAACTGGCCGTAGTGGGGATTGGGGCGGGGAGTCATTTACTGCGAACCCGGACCTATGCTCGGTATGTGGTACCGATGAATTACCGATACCTGTGTAGCTAGGTCTGCTGTTATTATCATACTGACTTCCGATTGGCCTAGATCTATATTGAATGCCTCTTGAGACATGCCCTTGATTCCCCGACTCCCAGTCAACATGGGGCACGATTGTAGGGAACGAAGTTAAAAGTGGGTTCGCCCCTGTTATGTGACTATTGTCTGCCCCTCTGTGTGGCCTGGGGTAGGGAGGCCAATGCCCAAATCTAACTTTTTAATTACTAATTTGTTTATACTAAAACTAAGATTAAAAGAAAGCATTTACTTTCACTAAGAAAATCCACCCATCTGCCGACTCCATAGGTTCCATCAAATAGGAGATATCCAGCTGGTTTGTAGCCATTTCCTTCTACGCCTTTCCGTACGTAAGAGCCTTGAAACAATTATATTTCATGTCGCAAAGTTACGTTCATAATTAGACAGGCCCGAGGGACAAAGTTCATGATGAAGTTTAAAACTTCGCGCGAAAGTGCAATCACTCAACAGCGGCTAGCCTTGAATCGGTCGCACACGTACACACCTTCTTCTTCTTAGTTGATCCCTCCACCGACACAGGCAAGCCCCGATGCAGGCTGAAGACTGAAGTCCAGCCATCAATGTGCGAACGATTACATCTTCTACTACTACGAGCCGAAGACGATGGTTCAAAAAAGGAAAGAAATATATATAATTCATTGATATTTACCTTAGATGTGTATTCCAATAATTTGATTTCCTCATGAGTATTCCTTATTATCAACGATCGAGAAGTTACGAGGTCCAATTAAAATCCATCTTGCAGCGAACACAATCATAGCCACATCCATGCATGCAACGTACGTGTACTAATATTTCTCTCACTCTCTCTCTCTCCCTTTCGCTATACGTAACATACACACTCACTAACCATGTATCATACAACACACACCTTCAAATCATGGCTTTCATTTCAATTCTCAATTGGAGTATAGACTGCTCACGTAGACTTTTTTTTTTACTGAAATATCTTTTTTAACACTTCTCATTCATTACTGCACGACACTCGTATCTAGTGCTGTGAGAATAAGGTACTAGGGTCTATAAATAAGACTACGCTTTGCGCACGATCTGACCGGAGCTCAGATTATGTCGCAATACCCTTTATTTTTGGCGCGAACAATGACGTCACTGTTCACTGTTTTCCTTCTCATTTTGAGATGGATGTAGCTATAGGGCTCAAACCAACGCAAGATTGACAGAAACATCGTACTCTATCTACTTTCGAATGTTCAGTTTGTAAAAATCTGTATTTAAAAAGATATTATCTTTTTTCTTTATATTTTCTAGTTGTTAGAAGTGGCAATTGTGAACATCTGAAATGTTGATCTCTATCAAAAGTTCTTTACTCAAAACGGATCCCATATTTTTAGGGTCTACCTTCTGCCAATGAGAAGGTTTTTAGTGAGCAAACCTCTACGCCCTCTAGGATTTTCTTAGTCGGTGGTGCGAGTGCGTCAAGGTCGTCTGCAACCACAATTATTGGATTAAAAAACGTCAAAATCTGCAAGATTGTCAACAAATGGTGAAAGACTGTTACAGATCCGTGATTATAGGTATGTTGTGAAATGTATAATTGTATTTTCTTTTCATATTTTCTTCAATTTTTATTTTTACATCATTTTTTTCCCTTTGCTAATTTTTTGAAGTGGGCGACGAGCGCACAAATCGTAGGTGTAGAAGCCTTACGCCCGGGCATTGGCCTCCCTACCTGGGGCTTGTCGTACCGACCCCAGCACTAATTGCTGTGCAATTAGCCATAGATCTGTGTGTGTGTGTGTGTGTGTGTGTGTGTGTAATTGGGTTTTTACAGACGTGTATCAATCAGATATGATTATTTACGTCTGGGGACCGACCTTTAACGTCACCATCCGAAAGACGTGACTCAGTTTCGAACCTGCGTCCTCTGCTGAATCAGTTTGTAACTTCCACTGTTAGCTGGATTACAGGCGCACGCCACAACGCCATAGATCTAACTTCGGTTGAAGTAGCATTAGTACCAGTGGGTAGATCAAGATCTAGATCTATCCGTACCTCACCTGTTGACTGTAGGGCGCTTTAGTAACGAGACGGTACGCACAGGAGACGATAATGCGAGCGAAAAAAACAAACTGCGCATGCGCGATTCTGAATTATCTCCGTCCCGTCGATTTTCGGAACGGTACTCGGCCAACATAGCGTTCGTTTCCTAAACACGACGTAAGAGAGAGAGCTGACAAATAATTTGTATCTAGATCTAACAATGCAGGGCCCTACTGAAGATAAAAACAGGGAATCTACTAGTGTTTCCAATGTCTGTTCGGTATCTATACCTCAATCTACAATAAATTGATGGTTTGGCCGTTTAGGCCTACTTTGGGGGCCCTTTTTCATCGTTATGCATGACGTGCCTGCACGCTGCGCACTACAGCCCACCGCCGGGTCTATTGCCCCGGCGCTCCGGCCAAGCCTCGAGGCCCAAGAGCACTAGCACCAAAATGCAGCAGGTGTGCAGTTCAGCGCGGCTTTGCGTCCCCGTCGCCTTTAGCAGAAGGCGAAAGCGCTTAAACATCACGACGGTAACAAGAGTGCGAGACCCGTCACAGTTGGTTAAACACTCCGTCTCCTGTGCGTACCGTCTCGTTACTAAAGCGCCCTTGTAACTGCAACTGTGATCCCGGCTGTGATGGTTGGGTATTCAGGGCTGCTGCTGGTGGTGGTGGGGTGCTCGACATTGCTGGTGGGATGCCTGCTGCCGGTAATGCCGGGATCGCTTCAGGTAGGCCTACTCCGCTGTCTACTGTTAGCGGCCGAGACTGCACTGCCCGTGCCCTCTCTGTGCTGCTTGCCTGACGACTGCGCCTCGCCCGTCCGTTGATGCTTGTGGCTGAGCAACTGCTGGCCGGAGTTTGCGCTGAATTGTTAGTTTTCTTGCTAATTGAGCTGGCTCTAGTGCCCTTCCGACTCTTTGCAGCTGTTCTCTGTCTTTTCTGCTGGGCAGTAGCACCGCCATTGGCGCACTCATTGGTCTTTCTCTTTCCCATTTTTTTATTTTTTGCAGCTCTGAAACAATCGACTGCCTTGAACGGAAAATGAAGCGAGAATGGCTATTCAAAGCGCGCTCATTTGCACGCATAACTTTGCCAAATTATTTCCGCACTAGAAAATGTTCACATGCACACCACATGACCCCAAAGTTTGTTGACCTGATTCGAACTCTTGCTTCTCCCAAAAATGTGCTGATCAGTTTATGCTGATCACATTATTTCTGGCAAATGTACAAATGTTCAACAGTCAGTTCATGCAAGCTCAAACAATAATATACAGTGACGTAGTAGGTTGTAGGCCCTACCAATATCCTGAGTCCAAGTTTTCAGGTTGAATGATAATATGCGTCGAAATAGGTGCGCCCATCAAAAGTATTAATTCTCTATCCAAGTGTGTATACAAATAAGGTTAAAATGGTAAAATCACACCTGAGTAGATCATCTGTTCATATTATGCAGTTTGTGCATCCTATAAATAGCAGTTGGTTTTCCCACAGAGAGCGCACAGGATATAGCACCTTTGAACTTAATGGCGGTATATAGTATGTATTCATCGTTTTAGTCTATAGCGGGCGACTTTGTTCGGCTGTCAGTGGTGGATATGATTATTATGCTAGAAATCCACCGTAGTAGAATTCTAGATAATAAAAGTCAAACGTTTTATTTGCTTGCATTACTATCATTAGGGAATTTTCGATTTGCGTGGACGTGGACATGTGACTTCCTTTAAAGTCACGTGTGACGTCCTTTTAAGGCACTGGCAGTGCCTTAAAACGATGTCACACGTTGCAGTCCACGTTCTCGTCGTGCAAATCGAAAAGTCCCTATTGGTAGGGAAAAAGGACGGTAACTACACTTGCTTTCCACCCCTTCTTCCTCCACTATTCTTCCTTTATCTCCTTCCATATCTCTCTTTTTCTTTCTCTGTCAACAAATCATATTCTTGTGAATGGATTGCTTCGAGGCTATGATTTTTTCTTCAATGTACAATTTGCTTGAAAAAAATATTTTACCGTTTCTACTCTTATACAAAATCTCATGATTTAGATATATTATAACCATGATAATGTGAATCATTTCTGTCTCAAGAGCTGATAACATGAAAACTCATATCAAATTTAACATGTCACTATATCATAGCGATACTGCACATGGAATGTGATTTATTTGAAATAATCATGCTTGGACCCTGCAACAATGGATCCATGAAATAAAGAAATGATTTTCTCTCATCGCAATTCTGTCTGATTTAAGCTTCTAACTTTCTTTGATTATTCCTCTCTCTCGCTCTGTCTCACTCTCTCTCTCTCTCACGCACACACTTTCATCTTTCGATCTCTATCTCTGACTCTTTCTTTCTCTCTCTCTCTCTCTCTCTCTCCCTATAAACAACTGAATATTATCAAAGTCTGTGAGAATGTATGTGCAAGAATCCTTAAAAGTGTTTTTTTTGTAAACACCTCATTAACAATGAACATGTACCTGTAGATACTTGTACTTATGAATACCTTGTCAACTATTTATGTTAGTGGTGTCGGGTCGGGTAGACCCTATTTTGCCTTGATTAAACTTTACAAACTATTACATTAAACATGTCCTCATTGACATAACTGAATTTGAACTTTATGTCGACCACATATACTCAGTCTGTTGTTTGAAAGTAGTAACAGAAATACTTATCCAGGGGATTGTAGCATCTGTCAATATAAATATAATGGAAACGGAGCGTATTTTGATGCTCGAATGGAAATTAGACATCTCAATAATTTTGAGGCCCACACACACACACACAAACATTCTGTTTCCAAATGTTTACTTGAATACCAAGGTGGTTACAATGGTAAAATCACTCTCGAGTAGATCGTCTGCCGATATCACTATGAACATGACGGACAATGAAAGAGGACAAAATATACAGTTCCTCATTCTAACCTCAACAATTGTTGTGGTAGACAAAGGAACATCCCTTCACTGCTATTATTTAAAAATGTGTAGAACAGGTGAATATGCATGTGACACCTGTTCTACACATTTTTACATAATAGCAGTGAAGGGATGTTCCTTTGTCTACCACAGCAATTGTTGAGGGTAGAATGAGGAACTGTAAATGTTGTCCTCTTTCTTTGTCCGTCATGTTCATAGTGTATCATGCAGTTTGTGCATCCTATGAATAGAAGTGGGTTTTTCCACAGAGCGATTAAACATGCACCTTTGAGCTAGTTGGCGGTATGTTTTTTCAATTATCTAGAGAGGGCGACTTATTTCGGATATCAGTGGTGGATTATGTTGGAGATCCACTTTAGTAGAATCCTGGATAATAGAGCTAGTCGTTATATTTGCTTTCATTACTATATTTGGAAGAGTTAAAGACAACAACTACCCTTGTTTTCACCCCCTCTTTCTCCACTATTCTTCCGTTATTTCCTTCTATTTCTCTCTTTCTCTTCCTCTTTCTCTGTCAACAATTTAAGGGCTATTCCAGTGTCAAACAACAATACCATGTGCATACAACAAAATAATGTACATGTAATTATAGGCTAGGTTTACAGCGTATACATACTTTTCATAACTATTTTCAAATTTAAAAAAAAAGAAACAAAAGAGGAAAGTATAAAATACGAACTTTGAGACATTTTATTAAGGTACTTTACAAAACTGTGTACAAAAACAGTATAGAGACCATGTGTGTGTATTGAAATAGTAGCCCCATTTTACAAAAAAGAATTGACTTACTTTATTCACCAAAAACATAAGGTAACTGCATTTTCCATCGAGATACGGTTATCAGAACCCCCCCCCCCCCTTAACAAAAAAAAACAAAAAAACGAATATAAGGTGTTTTTTTTTAATAACAATAGAAAGAAAAATGTCCACAAGCTTCATGTAGGTCGCTTAACACAAAAGGAATTCTTCGATGTTATCTTCTTACAAACAAATCAACTGGTATGTCATTTTTTAATGACTCTGTTGGGAAACATTGAATTGATGTTTTCTCCAGATTCATCCCTACCTTTGCCGCGCATGTCTACTAGCGTGACCAGAGGTAGGTTTAATATCCTCATCATTTCTACAGTTTATCATATGATAAACATAATCCTATCTCACCCCCATTCTCTCTCTCTCTACCGTTATAAAATGCAGATGAAGATATTCCAAATTCCACGTCACAAATCGATAGTCTGTATAGATTTCATTGAAATGATTCGAATTTAACTTGACTGAATTAAATTGAATTGAAAGGGTAATTATTATGAAAAAGATCGCCAACTGCTGGATTTACATGAAATATGTTCAAAATTAAATTACTAATTATAACAGAACTGCAGTAAACGTTGACATAATGTATCATACTATGAATTACTTAGGACGTTTAGTCAAGAAACAAATCTTCTGACAGTTAAACGAGGCCCTTTTTTAATACGCCGTTCTTTCTACATCGTAGCAAATTATCAGCCCCAGAGCATTAAATTTAATAGCTTTTCAAACAGGGTGCAGAGTGAATATGAAGGAATCTTTCATGAAATATAGCACCATAGCCAAGTAAGATTTTTTTCTATTGATTTGATTTATTAGTCAAGTTAAATGTAACATAAATACGAAGAGTCAAATGATATTATAAAATGAAAACAAAATAATACTATCAATAACTTTTCAGGATGAAATGTGACAGCTTAAAAGCTTCTTTACAATGGGCTCCCATTAACAAAGTGAGCATCATTTATTTCGTCATCTAAAGATACAAA